GGGAATTCAGTTACAAAATAGGCAAAAGACATGAGTGTATATTTCACCATGAGGGGATACAGATGTCAAATATGTATATGAAAAGATGTTCAACATCACTAGCCATTAGGGAAATGCAGGTTGAAAACACAATGTGATATCACTGTATACTTATTAGAACAGCTAAAATAAAAAGTAGTGATAGTACCAAATGCTGGTGAGGATGCAGAGAAATTGGACTGCTGGTGAGAATACAAAATGGTATGGCCACTCTGGAAAATAACAGTTTCTTTAAAAAAATAAACATGCATTATTTATGGCCTAGCCATTGCAGTCTTGGGTGTTTATCCAGAGAAATGAAAACTTACGTTTACACAAAAATCTGTACATGAGTAGCTGCTGTGGAAAGTAGCATGGCAGCTCCCCCTAAAATAAAAATAGAATTATCTTATGATCCAGCAATTCTAGTTCTTGGTGTATACACCAAAGAATTGAAAGCAGGGACTTGAACAGATATTTGATAAAGGATTATTCTACAAAATACTGCTGCTGCTCCATGGAGTTTAGAAACGAGTTGACAAAACAAGATAGACTTTCATTTTATTAAAAAGTAAAAGTTATGGTGCAAGGTGTGTTAGTGTATAGGTATTAAGTGCTTTAGGAATCCTCCAGAAGGAAAGGTTGCTGTGGGCTGAGTTGTCAGAGCTGATTATACAGGGAGGAAGAGATTGAGTTGAGACTTGATGGATGAGTAGGGATGAGCCAGACAAATAATACAATAGAAATAAGGAATGGGGAGAATCGTGTGAACAAAGGTTCAGAGAGCTGCTTATGATAAGTACAGGTAGTGCACAGACCAGCCTGGTGAAATAGTTTTCAAATACAAGAAGTACCAGGACAAGGCATGAATAACCTATTGGCTAGGTTTTTCAAAGGAAGAGTGAGTGCCACAAGAAAGCAGTGTAATTTGATCTGGCTCAGAAGCAGGTGACGGGATGATGTGAGTGGGAAAGTCTAGAGGTGGGTAACCAACCACGGAAAGGAAGGGATCAGCAGATCAGACAGAACTTGAGGTGTAAGCTGGGCGACTGGACAAGTGATGTCACCTGCCTGAAGTAGGGAAGGACTGGGATTTGGGGAAAATGGGCTCTTTCCAAGTGCATCCCCTCCATCACCTGCATTTCCATCTAGTTCCATCAGAATTCTTATATTATTGTTTCCTTTCTGAAACCAGAGAGGGCCCACCAGATTCCTAAGAGGTGGAGACAGGATTTAATGACTCAGCTCCAGGGATCCTCCTGATTTCACCTCCTTGTCTGCAAAAGTGACCTGAGGTCATTCACAAGTGGAGGGGTGCTGTTGACCACATACTCCTGCCCATCCACAACTCGCGTTAACCATCCAGTAGCTGCCTGTCAAGGTCTTTGCAGAGAGAGCTTTCTCCTTAACCAGAAACCTCCAACACTGCCGGGGGCTTGACAGGCAGCAAAGGAGTGGTGTGTGTCAGGTGCAGAATTTAGAAGTTCTGACCTCTTGACTAACGATGTTCAGTGTTGAGCTGTCTCTGCTTTCAGTGAAGCGACAGAGTTTGAGAAATTATTCTGAATAAGAGAAAGGCAGGATGGCCTGAGCCCAGGCTGAGCAGTAAAAGCTAATTTGGTTGTGTTTACTAGTTCTCAATCTTGTCATTGAAGACCTTGCCCCACTATACTCCCCTCCCCCATTTCCCGTTACTTGAGCCTTACTAGCCTCCCTCACTCATGGTACATGCTGTTTTTCCTCACAGACAATTTTTACACAGAAGAATAAGCTGCTTCCTGACCCACTGGACAATAGACGCTGGCAGGGCTTCCAGCTGGAGGAGTATCTGATAGGGCAGTCCATTGGCAAGGGGTGCAGTGCTGCTGTGTATGAAGCCACCGTGCCTGTGTGGCCCCGGAACCTGGAGGTGGCAAAGAGCATCCGGCTTCTTCCAGGGAGAGCCCCAGATATCATCCCACCAAAAGAGGAGGAACGAGCTCCACACGCCCCTGCTTTTCCCTTAGCCATCAAGATGATGTGGAACATCTCGGTAAGGATGGGTTTTCCATCTTCAAAGTGCCAATCTTGGGAGGCCTGATGATGCTTTTTCCCAGGAAGTAAATAGGAAAAGACAGATTCTCTATAGTCCAGGTTCCTATAAGTTATGCTGCCTCACTCTCTCACACAAAAGTGTGAAGCAGCGTGTCTCAAAACCTGTCCACGAATCACCTGGGGACTGGCAGATTCTGATCAGGTCTGGGGTGGAGCCTGAGATTTTGCCTTTCAGTAAGCTCCCAGGTGACGCCCATGCTGCTGATCTGTGAACCACACTTGGAGTAGCAAGTGCCTAAACCATTGGTTTCTCACCTGGCCGTCCTAGCTGATCAATTAGTTAATTCCAGGACTGCAGTTACCACTATCCCCTCTCCTTCCCTTGACCGGCCTCACTGGAGAGGAGGAGCCACATTCCTTAACTCTAGCCTCACCTACCACCTCACCTCCAGGTCAGAGGCTTGTTTGTCACCTCCCTGCTGTCAACTCTTGGAGGACTCCAGGCTTTGGGAATTTGAGTACATTCCCCCCACAGAAACAAAGATTTCTCTCTATTGGGAGTAATTTCTTTACCTTGCCATTGCATAGGTGGGCTTAGAAAATTCCTCAAGACCTGGCGTTCTTTCCCCTGCCCAGGGCATCTATCCAAGGCTAAGGTGGAAAACACCATGTGCTAATGCTGGACACCAAAGAGTTTGGTTTGTTTTGATCTTGGGAAGAAAGATTATTAGACTTTTCCAAACTGGGTCAATAGCTAACAAGTAGCCAAATCCTTTGCCTATGAAACATCTAGTCGAAGCATCAAAGCTTCCAGCCCAGCCGGGCATGGCTCAGCGGTTGAGCGTCGACCTAAGATCCAGGTGATCAGGGTTCGATTCCCGGTCAGGTCACATGCCCCGGTTGCAGGCTCAATCCCCAGTTGGGGGCCTGCAGGAGGCAGCCAATCAATGACTCTCTTATCATTGATGTTTCTCTCTCTCTCTCTCCTTTCCTCCTTCTGAAATCAATAAAGATATTTTTAAAAAAAAAAAAATACTTCCACTGGTTGGGCCGTGATAGCTATTGCATTCACAAAAGCTAAAGGACTTGACTCTTACAAGATCTTCTCCATACTCAAGTTTCATGAGTATTGAGAGCTGTTCATAGTGAAATGAGGAAAATAAGGTGATTTTCCTCCTCTTTGGTGTTTTTTTTTGTTTCTTACTGGGGGATGGGAAGGCTGTTCAGTGATTCAGCACAACTTTATCCAGGGTGGGCTTGTCAGGCTCTGACCTGCCTACACCGGTGAGTCTGGTGGTGACCACAGGCATTTATGGCAAGAAAAAGGGTCCCCATACCCTTGCCATCTTGACATCTCTTCCTGCCCTGGCATCTGAGCTGCCAGGAGTTTGAGGAATGGGAAGCATCCTGAGTTGGCATGGATGACACCTCTGCCCTTTCTCCCAGGAGAAGCTAACCTTGGCTTGCCACTTTAGAGAGGTTATCTTTTCTTGAAGGTCAAAACCGATTCTAGGCGGTAGCTGTTCTGGTCGGGATTACAAGGAGGGCTTGGACTTGCCATTCTGCTTGGGTCTGTATGACCCTGGATTCATTATGGATGTTTCAGGCCGGCTCCTCCAGCGAAGCCATCTTTAGCACAATGAACCAGGAGCTAGTCCCAGCTAGTCAAGTGGCCTTGGCCGGGGAGTATGGAGAAGTCACTTACAGGTAAGCACCCATCTGCCCACCAGACCGGCTGTGAGTTGACAGCAAAACCATCGTCTGTGTCCTCGGCACTCAGCAGTGTCTGACATGACACAGTCAATAGTAAATGCTTACTGAGTGATGTAATGATGAGTTAACGATGGATTTTCAGTTATTGGGAAATTCACCGGGGAAAGATTATAGATCACCTGCCGATGCACACTGGAATGGGGGGAGAGGGCCATCCCAAAACGCCCCTTTCAGAAAGTGGAAAATTGAGCTGATTTCCAGTTTTTCCTAAGGAATGCCCAGGTGGACCACCACCTATCCGTACCAACTGAATTCTGCCCCCAGCAGAGGTAGCATTCATTCCTCTAATAGCTGCAGTGCATCTGATGGTGTAAGAGATTTAAAAAAAAAAAAAAAAAAGTAGCCTGTTCCTCAAGAGTTCTCCATGAGGCCCAGGAGCCGGACATCTCAGGAGCAGAGTCAAGTGTGGTAAGTTCTAGAATGGTATATGCGCAGGTGCTAAGGGACCCCAGTGGTGGTGTGTGAGTGGCAGGGGTTGGGCCATTCAGAAAGGCCTCTTGAAGGGATATTTTGTGCTGCCTTTTGAAGGATGAATAGGCATTAGCTTGGGAAAGCACAGGAAAAGAGGCATTGTCCTCACAGAAGAGCAGTGGATGGCAGCGTAGCTGACGGTGGCTTTGTAAGTCCTCTGTCCACATGTCTGAGCTATGACCAGAGGCACTTGTGCCCACTGTAACATTTGTAGACCACCAGGAAGAGGTGGCCTGCTGCACTTTTGGTGACTTACCAGAGGGTGGATTTATAGATCTAGTTCTGTCAGCTGCAGGAAGGTAGAAATAGGGGCTTCAGGAAATATACATGGAAAACCCCTTCCATTGCTTGGAAGGCTCCAGTGTAACTGAGGGTCCGGGCAGGTCTGTGGGCTCAGCACTGTCATCCTCTTCTGATTCCTTTGTAGGGAAAAGGGGACCACTGAATATCAGCTGCCTTTGGGGGGCTGACATTGTGGTGTCAGCTTCAGCCTGCCGATGGTGCTGTCAGTAGCTGTGAGCGCTGATGTCTCTGCCGCAGAGCCCTGCCCAGACCTCTCGTCTGAAATAGCCCCTGCCACTCTCATCCTTTACCCTGCCTTAGTTTCTTTTCATCCCATTTAGCCGCGTCTGACCGTAAATCATAGATGTCTGTGTCTGTTCACCGTCTCTTCAGCTGTGCTGTATGCTCTCTGAGGCCAGGGCTTTTGAGTTTTGTTTCCTGCATTCCCCCACAACTCCGCATCTGTTGAATGATTAGATGGGTGTGGCCCAAGGTCTGTTACCTAAAGCATGACCAGGAGAAACACTCTTCTCTGAGAACACCCTGGATGTATTTCTACTGCGCCTTTGCTCATCTCGGGACCCCAGATTGAGCCCTTTGCATCTTCTCCCCTTGCTTCTCCCACCTGATTTCTGATTTTGTCCCATTTATACACTATGTTCCACCATACCGAATTCCTACTGCCCTCCCCCAAGACACCAGGCGCCTCCATGACTATTCTGTCTGCATGCAGTTAGCTATACTGGGCTGCCCTTCACACAGCCTTCTGTCCCATTCCAGGTCTCACTTCAAACACGCCCACACGCACATCTCCCCAGCACAGCCACACTCTTCCTCTGGGCTCCTGTGACAGCTGGGCAGAGCTTTCCCACATGGCACTGACAGCCTTGAGCTGTGATCCTGATTCTTACACTAGCCCCAATGACCCAATGCTTTGACTCCTTTGCACAGAACGGGGGGCCCAGGGGGCAGACTGAAGAGAAAGAGCAATAGGTGGCCACACATGGGCTGGATCTGCAAAGCTCAGGAACCGAGGCAGCTCTTAGGACAGGGCAGGCCTCGTGCTCTCTGAGACTTGTCTTGATAACTCTAGGCTTCTACTCCATTCTCCTCTGCCACCCGGTGTCCCATGGCTCTTCTGTTCCTGCGTACTTTGGCTTGCACACCTCCTTGGCTCCCAGTGGTCCCAAGCAAATCTCATGTCATCCTTTCCCAGCTCCATTGCTGACTGCCAGGTTACTGCCATATTTCCACATTCGTACCCCTCAAAGAGAGAATCTGCCTAGCCCCTTCCCTTTTCCTGCCAACCATTTGGATCTGATGTGACCAGGTGGGTCAGATCCCACCATTAGTCCAGTCATCTTTGGTTGAGGGGCTGAGCTGGTACACAGAAGGCAATCACACAATAAAAAACATGACCCCCACGCCTCAGCAGGGCTGTGGGTGTGGGGCTCCTGGAGGAGGAGGGTGGGGAGGGCAGGCAGGTGACAGCTCTACTACCAACCGTCTGTATCCATTCATTCATTCATTCATTCATTCATTCATTCATTCAACAAAGGTATTGAGCTTATACTTCACACCAAGTATTATTGCAAGAACTTAGAATCAGATTCTAGATCCTTTCTTAAGTATTACCATCCTTATGAGGTATGTTACTACCTTTTTCCCCTTTTGCACTTGCAACTGAGCCCAGAGAAGTTAAGTAACTTGACCAAGGACATAACAGTGGCAGACCTAGAATCCAAATCCAGGCAGTCTGATTCCAGACGCTGTTAACCACTGTGTCTGCCGCATGGGATGGACGGAAGGATGGCCTGGTGGAGTCATCAAACATGATTTGACATCTTAGTGGGGTTTTTCTCTAACACCAGGCTCTGCACCTGGAACGTAGCAGATCTACAGTAAATATCTGATAAATAAATGGGTGCATAAATAAGTGGCAGTATTTATTATGGCCTTATCTTTCCAACCATTATGTTACTGGCCTCATACGTTTGTCCCTTTTGATTGAAACAGAAAATCCAAAGGAGGTCCCAAGCAACTGGCCCCTCACCCTAACATCATCCGGGTCTTCCGCGCTTTCACCTCGTCTGTCCCACTGCTGCCAGGAGCCCTGGTCGACTACCCGGATATGCTGCCCCCACGTCTTCACCCCGAAGGCCTAGGCCATGGGCGCACACTTTTCCTCGTTATGAAGAAGTAAGTGGCGGGAGCTGGTCCCTGCATCTGTGCACCTGGAGCCCAGGGTCACGGGGAAGAGGGGAGCCTCTCCCTTTGGGAGATAGGGCCGTGCCAAGGGCAGTTTTCCATGAAAACAGACTCATCTTCATTTAGAACAGACCTTTCACCTGGTGCTTTTAATGCATCTGACTGTTGTCCCTTCTCTGTGGCTGCCTTGTCCGTCTGTGTCTGTTATAATACACAGTTCTTCCTTCCCCTCTGCACCCCGAACACTGCATTAATGGACGTTTTAGGAAAATGAGCATCTGTACTGTTACTTTCAACGTGTGAGGCCCCGGCTCTTCCTAGTTTCAGGATACTGGGTGGGAACAAAGGATACTTGAGGCAAAAAGAAGTCAAAAAGCTCCAGGAAGAAGAGGAGAGGCCATCTTCCTAATAGTAAATAAGATGCTAGAGAATGTCAATGACAGACGCCTGTCGCCCTCTCCACCAGCTACCCCTGTACCCTGCGCCAGTACCTTCGCGAAAACACCCCAAGCCCCCGCCTTGCCACTGTGATGATCTTGCAGCTCTTGGAAGGAGTGGATCATCTGGTTCAACAGGGCGTCGCACACAGAGACCTAAAATCTGACAACATCCTCGTGGAGCCTGATGCAGGTAGGTGCCCGGCCATACCTCAGAGCTCTCCAGGGGGCACTAGACTTGAGATCTGGGAACACAGGTCCTGTTTGGTTTTTATGTCCTGTTATAAGTTATTGTGTCTAAATTTAGCTTTGTACACAAGACATGAGCAATCTCTCCTTCAAAGTGGAGGCTTTCGTTCTCTGTGGAATTTGTCGAGTCTGTCTCACTGCTGCCAGGGGCCCTGGTTGTCTACCTGGATATACTGCCCCCATGTCTTCACCCTTAAGGCCCATTAACATTCCCAAGTTCTTTTCTGTTGCCCACTTACAGAACAACCCCAGTGGTGGAAGTTTTCTTGACTAAAGTAAAAGAGGGGTGGTAGACTTTAGCTCAATGTAAGAAAGAATTTTCAAACTGAAAGCTGTCCAAATGTAAGCCCAGTTGCCTCTGGAAATGAGCTCCCCATCACTAGAAGCATTCAAGTAGAAGCTGGATGGTTACTTGTTTGGGGATATTGTAAATTCATACATCTGATCACTTTTGATCTAGATTTAAAATAACATACAGTTATTAGAGGAACTGGCTTTTTAAAGGAAGCCTGTGAATCTTTTTACAAATAACTAATTCCTAATGCAACTGTTTCTTAGGTTTGGATTTAGGGTTTCAAGTTCAAATAAAAAACTCTTGGAGTCTAAAGGCCCTTAGAGGTCATTTGAGCCAAGCACCATCTGTTGAGTAAATTATGAGCAGTCCTTCAGTCTTGGGACAGGTCCAATTATTTCATTATTTAGATTGATCCAAACTTTTACCCATTTCTGTTTGGGGGCCTTGTCAGGGAGCCTTCATTTTCTAGAGACATTTCTGTATTCATGTAGCTGGCCTTCCTCCTGTTGAGCTCTCTGAGGAGCTCCCTCTGCTCTCATGGACCAACCCTGAGTCCCTGTTAGCCCCTCTCACCTGTGTCTTGATGGTGGCTTTAGCAGGGACTTACGGAGGGCCTCTCAGAGGAAAGATGGAGAAGCAGTCACTTACCCCCCCGTCCCTTCCCTAGATGGCTGCCCCTGGCTAGTGATCTCAGATTTTGGTTGCTGCCTGGCTGATGAGCGCATCGGCCTGCAATTGCCTTTCACCAGCCAGTATGTGGATCGGGGCGGAAACGGCTGCCTGATGGCTCCTGAGGTGAGTCCCGCTGTGATGTCATGCGCCATCAGCAGAGACTCTTCAGTGTTTCCACTGATAGAACACGACTTGATGCCTCATTATTTTCTCAACTCCTCCACCCTTTATGACCCATAATTTGGCACCAGTCCCTTCCCTGCCACTTTGGTTTAATCTGGATCTCCCTAATGTTGCTGGGAGATACAAGTTTTGTCAGCACAAAGTCGACAGCGTAGGCAGATTCTTCTGGGTCTAAGCTAGAACTCACTCAAATTCTGGGTTCCTTAGGATGGAGTTCAGATTAGCCCATGAGTCAGGTGGCATGCACATGAGCAGCTTAGAAATAACCAGCAACATGACTGCTCACCCATTGCTTCCCGAGCAGGTGTCCACAGCCTGCCCTGGCCCCAGGGCGGTGATTGACTACAGCAAGGCTGATGCCTGGGCAGTGGGAGCGATCGCCTACGAAATCTTCGGGCTCTCCAATCCTTTTTATGGCCAGGGCGGAGCCCACCTTGAAAGCCGCAGTTACCAAGAGGCTCAGCTGCCTGCACTGCCTGAATCGGTGCCTCTAGATGCAAGACAGCTGGTGAGGTCACTGCTGCAGCGGCAGGCCAACAAGGTGAGGCCGTCCCCAGGTTCTGCAGGGATTTTGCGGATAGAAACCTCAAAGTAAAGATCAGGTTTGGGCAAGCACTAGCGTGACAGACAGCTCATCTTACAAAGATTGAAAGGCCAAGTACAGGAGAACAAAACAGTTTAGTATGAATTGGGAGTAGGGAAGCTAGCCACCAAATTAGTCAGAATTCCAGCAATTCAACTCTTCTTGGCTTTAGTTGCTTAGGTTACTTAGAGGGAAAAAAATGCATTTTTAAGAAATGTCTAATGGAGATATAGTTTATGGGAAAAGCTGAGATCTAACAAGACAGTAGTTGTGAAGACATGCAGAACAGATCTGGACATTTTGAAATTACTCTAAAGGAATCTAAAGGCTCATACATGTGAAGCCACAGCTGGAGTGGCATGCTTAGTGGAGGGAGCAGAGGCAGACCAGGGTTCAGATTCTTGTTCTAACACTTATCTCCCACCATGCACAGCGTACTATCATGATCACAGTAATGCTCACTGCTACCAGTTACTATGAGATACGACTCCACTCCAGACAGTGCTCGTAGCAGGAGGTGGTTCGTGGGCCTTCCATAATGGGGAGGCCCACTTCCCAGCACACTGCCCCCAGGCAAATTTGTATACATGGAAAAGACTGGAGGCCAGTATGTGTCAGGGGATTGAGAGGTGTGGTAGGAGAGAAAAGGGTGGAGAAGAATTTGGTTGGGACCAGAGCAGGGAAGAGCCTGAAATGAGGATTCCTTACCAAAGAGGGTTGTGGGCCGAACACTTTGTCACAAATGTTCTAAGCCTCAGCTTCCCTTCCTGTTGCAGAGACCATCTGCCCGAGTAGCTGCTAATGTGCTTCACTTAAGCCTCTGGGGTGAACATACTCTAGCCCTGAAGAATCTGAAACTAGACAAGATGATTGGCTGGCTCCTCCAACAGTCAGCAGCCACACTGTTGGCCAACAGTCTTACGGGGAAGAGCTGTGTGGAAACAAAAATGAAGATGTTATTTCTGGCCAACCTGGAGTATGAGGCGCTGTGCCAGGCAGCGCTCCTCCTCTACTCCTGGAGAGCAGCCCCGTGAAGGCTGATGTAGCTGGTGAATTACTAAAAGAGCTTGGCAGCGTCTATGTCGTGATGGTCTGTGAATGCTGAGGGAGGGGGCTCTGAGGTGTGAGGGGAGGAGTCAAGAAAAGATGGTGCTGCAGAGAGGGCTGGTCAGTGGAAGAAAAGGCCTCTGGTTTGGCAAATGGGAGGAACAAGTTGAGTGAAGTTCAGTCTGTAGCTATTAACTCTAGCTGTGTGATTTTGGATGCATCATATAACCTGTGTTGTCTAAATTTCTCTTACCTCTGAAATGAAGAAACCGCTTTAGATAGCAGCCAGCAGACTTTTTCTATAGAGGGCCCGACAGTAAACAGCCAGGCTGCCACAGCTCCTCAATTCTTGTAGCACAAAAGCAGTCTTTACTATGGAAACGAGCGTGGCTATGTGCCAATAGTAAAGCTTTCATTATGGACAGTGAAATCTGAATTTCATGTGTCACTTAAATAGTCTTAATTTTGTAAAACCATTTAAAAATGTATAAACTGTTTTTTGCTTGCAGGCCATACCAAAAATAGGCAACAGGCTGGACTGGCCCACAGGCTATAGTTTGCCAACCCCTGGTCTAGGTGAATTAAAAGGGCCTAATTCTAAAAAAAAGTGCTAATCACTAAGCTGTGTATGGATGCTAAAATTGTGGTAAGATCTTTACCTACAAACCCAAAGGTGTGAGTGAGTTTTCTGCACCAGGTAAGGAGGTATACTCAGGTGTTAACTGCTGACTACCTTCAGTCATGTTCTGTCTTCACAGACCTCTGAAGAGTAGATGGCTGAGCTGGGCTGTTAGATGAGGCTGGGCTGAGGAAGGGTGGACCTGCACTCCACATTGTAGAGGATCCAGGTCAAGGCAGTGCTATTAGCCGCATGTTACCTGAGCTAAGGCAAACATTTGCACAGGTCAGTATATTCAGATATCAAAATGAGAAAATAATGCACTCCAGCTACTGAACTGAGTCTAGCAGAGCTGAAATGACCGAGGAAATGGAAATTCACAGTGCAGTGTTTTAAACTTGCCAATTTCCTTCTGACTAGCATTTCTTACAGGAACTGTGAAGAATTAAACGCACATTTACAGAAGACATATGTGCCTGGAACTATTTGGCTTTAAGACTGATTCTTAGGCCATAAAGACAAAATTTTGTGGGCAGAGAACAATGGAGAAGGGGTTGCACATATAATTTTACATGCGCTTTTTAGGAACAGGGCTATTGCCTAAAGCAAGTGAACATATATTTAAGGTTCTTTTGAAAACCAAGCAATTCTGTGTGTTATAAAGGCAAGTGCTGTTACCTTAGACTTCCCATTTCCGTGATTCCCCACTGGCCTCGGTGTAGTATTAACCTTGTTTTATCCCTTGGGAAGTTTGGAAACACTGTCATTTCATAGTTAAAATACAGTCCAGTCTCTGGCAAAATTAAAAGAGGCCATCTGCTGTTTTGTATCCAGTCATTACCAAAGAACATCCCCTCCATTAGCAAAGCACAGTGGGGGCCAGGTGAAGTCTGAGGGCAATGTTTCGCTTTATTTTAGAAAGGAAAGTGACTGCACTTATGAAAAATACCACTTACCACAATGTGGAAAAACATAAAAATCATTCCCTAACCCCCACCCCTAGGTACTCAATCTCCCACTGAGGTAAGGCTATGCCGCTGTCCCACGGCTTTAAAAACAAAAACAAAACACGAATCCTACTAAAATCCCTCATCTCCACGCTGTAAGGAGTCTAGGGCCCTGGCCCTCAGTCCGACTTCTCCTTCTCCTTCATGTGCAAGAAGACGATGCTGAAGAGGAAGAGTCCCGCCATCATGGAGAAGGCGCTGGCGTAGTAGGGGTAGGCTGAAGGGATGAAGCGCTCATACTGCGTGTGCTGCAGTGGCCTCACTGATACCTACAACAGGACAGGAGTGATGGGCCTGGCCACCCGAAGCCGGGGTGGGGCGCATGCTGAAGCGGACTGTGTGACCCATGCTTACCTGAGTGGAAGAATACAAGTGTGTGTAGCCTAGCCGGTTGTAATCCACTTTAAACTGGAACACACCATACACGTCTGGCAACTTGAACTGGACACTGTACTTGCCACCTGGGAAAGATCGACAACAGGTAACCAGGAGGTTCCCAAAGTGTGTCTCATTAGCCTCCCACCTCCTGAGAGCGAGCCAGAGGCAGGCTGTCTTCCGGCAGCTTCTGTGAGAACTGCTTTTTACCTTTCTTCTTCAAGAAGGTCCTCACAAAAGGATCGATGCGGACAAACTCCAGCTGAATGTCATCACCATCAAAGGGGACCCACCTGCCATTAGAGAGCTGCTCAATCACGATGCTGTACTCCTGAGAGAAAAGGCCAGTTAGCCAGGGGGCCGGGGATGAAAGATGCTGCCACCGCCACCAGAGCTGCACCAAATCCCTACTCGAATCTGGCACGAACTCCCAGGAGTGTGAAAACCTGAGCAAGCCCTACCCCCCACCCCTGGGCAGTGACTGAAATACCACCCAGCAGGCTAACCCCCCTGACTCGCATCCACCTCTTACCAGGTCCGTGAAAATCTGCAAACCGCGCTCCACCCCTGCAATGTGCCAGGTACTCTCGGGCATCCCTGCTTCCATATTTGCTGCTCTCTTGCCTTTCCCCACTTCTCTTGCCTGACACTCATCCTCAAACCAGGCTCCAATGGCATTTCTCCTGTGATCCCCACTTTAGGCAGTGCCAGCAAAGCCCCTCCCACGTCTGCACTCCCACACTCAGGATCTTGGTTTCTCTGCATCTGAGCTGCCTTCAGGGTAGAGGTTAACTTCCTCACCCTTTTTTAGGCCCCTCAGGCCCAGCACAGGAATGCTGCATAAATGCTTTTTGAGCTGGGTCAACTTGGCTAGAACCTCAGGGCCCTCCTCCTCCAAGCTCTTACCACAAGGTCAGTGACAGTGTAGGCATGGGGTGGGGCTTTCTCGCCCACCCGATGGTGGGACACAGGCCCCACACGGAGGACACCCTCCTCTTTGAACACCCAGCGAGAGAGGGCCACAGCTAGCTCATAGTTGCCTGTCTGGGAATACCTGCAGAAGGGGAAAACAGGAGAGGCTGGAGCACCAGAACCAACTTCTTCCCAGCAGGAACACAAAAGTGAAAAGATGTGAGGTGGCGTTGCTTTGGGTGTCACCGTACAATAAGTACACGATTTTCAAAATATCTCCAGAGAAGCCATTACTAGAAAAGTCTGGAGTGGCCAATATAGCAACAAAGTCAAGTCCTCAATCTTAAAACACCTAGAGATACTTAGCCTCTGACTTTTAGCCAAAGGCTTCTTCCTCCCCATCCAAGTCCTCTCCCTCTGCAGAGCCCCCGCCAGACCACATGCCCCTAAGTCCCCTGGCACCTACCTCTGGGAGCCAGGCGTGGCCTTCTGCACTGCCGAGTTGAAGAAGGCATCGCTGAAGAAGTCGAGGGAGCCGCTGAAGATGACCCGGGCGTTGTTCCTGGCCTGGAGCCCAGCGATCAGGAGGGTGTTCTTCCCCACTGCATGGGGATACTAGGAACACGGGGCTGTCAGCCCAGAGCCAGCGCAAAGGACAAGCCACTGGGCCCCCAGCACAAAAGGACAGTGGGCTAGACCCTCCCCACCTGAAGGCAAACCTGAAACACCACTGCTCTGCCCGCTTCCCCGCTCCACCACTTCTCATTTCATCAGCCTCTCACAATGTGCTTTCCTGCCCACTTCAGATAAAAAAGAGCTTTGCTCCTGGGCCCAGAAGCCAGAGTCTCAAGGCTGCAAGGCCCCTCACCTGGGTGATGGGTTTATCTGGGAAGAAGGAGTAAGAGGTGGAAGAGCCCGTCAGGATGTCCAACACCAAAGGGTTGTCGGGGTCAGCCACCATCCTGGAGAAGGAAGAGAACCACCCAACTCAGACCCCAAGAACCAAGCCCAAAGGACCTGTGGTCCCGAGGGCCACTTCTTCACGGAAATGAATCCTGCTCTCTCAATAGGCAACACTTAGCTCTCCTCTTGCTGTAACTATGAAATCTGACTCAGTGTCATGACTTTATTTCATCTGCATCCTCTGGAGAAAGGAATACCCCTGAATAATCACAAGTTTGGTTGGTTTCCTGACAAAACAGAGTAGTCCCCTCAACTCCCCAGGTTTCTGTTGGTCTCTCCTTGCTCACTCACCCAACACCTCGAAAGAGGATGGGATTTGGAGACGATTTCCCAACAATGGTGGGGGCCTTCAGCAGGTTCTCAGTGTCAGCCACAATGAGGGTATGCTGCAACGGCAGAGGGGAGGAGGTGGTCAGAGAGAGGCGCCCCCAAGCCAGGGGTCCCTCCCAACTCCTGCACGGTCTCTAGGCTGAGCTTTGCTCTAGGGGACTGAAACCTGTAAGGTGACAGGCCTGATTACCTGGCCAAGGTCTGAGATGTCGTAGTTGTGATGGTCAATGACAGCCGTTTTCTCCTCATCGAACTCAATCCCACACTCACTGCCCAGCTCGCGAAGAGGGTCACCTACATAGACCGAAGAGACACCTGGCTGAGCCCCTAGGGCTCACTCTCCCAGCCATCCCCAGGGCGCTGCAGCTTCACCAGCTGGAACCCTGGGCAACAGCATGGTAAAGTACGTGAGGTTTCAATCTGAATTCGCAAAACAAAAAAACACCTGGCCTTGCTCCACAAATACACAGTGACCTTGGTTCTGCACAAAAACCCCTGTGAAGCAAACACCTCGGCAAACTTGACCTGGATCAGCTTACAAGGTTTCTCTCTCCCATCACCTTGCCAAGAACCCCACCCAATATGGTTCTTAACAGCTGTCAATACTGAAAAAACAATAAAACATGATGGGACAGACGTTATTCATGGTTGAAACTGGGTGATAAGTACACAGGGCTCTCTTCCTACTTCTAAGTATCTTTAGAATTTTCCAAAGTAGTAAACAAAACAAAATGAAAACCTGTCCAATGCTTTTGGGCTCCACCCAATTAGCCTCCTACTTCTCTCCTCTTTTTAAGAAAAGAACCACCAAAACAAGTAAAAACACAACAAAGTTAAAAAACAAACAAGAACAGGGTTCCCAGCCCCTAAAAGAACCTGCCTCTCATTGGCTCTGGTCACAGGGAAGGAGGGAGTGAATGGCTCTGCAGTTCCCTCACTCCCTGGCCAAGGACGCCCAGTGAATGACAATCTGGTAGCTTCCATCTGTAAAGCTCTCCAAGCTTCTTGGAGAAACGGTGCAAAGCACCAGAACTTCTGAAATCAAACTTACCAATGTCTGAGCTGGCAGCTACCAGGACACTGCCTCCACCGTCAATAAAGGTACTGATGGTCTCCACATTGATGTTCCCTCCAAAATCTGAAAGAGGCACCAGACTCAGTGATCCAGAGGGTTCCTCTCACTGCTCCTCTGACATTTGGGCGGGGGAAGGTGGACAGAGGACAGCCACA